GGGAGTTTCGAAAGTTTGCTATTAAGGATTATTGATGTGACTGTAATTCATGGCTGTCTTAGTGGCTGGGGTAGTTACCCTCCACTTTGCGTTCCGTTCCTTGCATCACGTACTTTGCTCGTGCCAAGTTTATGCAGTGCTGGTGATTTGTTTTTCATTCATACAGTAACGACAGTCGTTTAGGTCACATTGCAGACGGATGAGGTGAAGAATGTCCCATGTGGCACCAGGTCAGTGACGTTGGAATATTTTGTTCATCGTATGTTACGAAAATTATTCAAAAAAAACTCAAAAATATTAAATTTATTAAACTCAACCTAGCGTTTCATTAAGTTCAGAAAGCTTAGCATATATGAGGGATTTCACAAAATGTCGTTTGTTCGACGTGCATCGAAAATGGAGTATGTAAATGGATGAGGTTATTGCTATTACTGTAGATTACGGCGAGACTCTTGTTGGACAGGAAGTCAAGGAATTTCTTCCTGTCCGTCTGAGCCAAACAGTTGTGTTGGCTAACTATGAACAGTAATGCAACTCGCTATACCCAGTATGTCCTTGAGGGAAATAGAAGCGTTCTCTAAATGTTTCTTCTCCCAAACATCTGTTGTATTACATTGTGCTGAAAAATAGGAATCATTTAATAGTAGCGAAAATGTCGAAATGCTTCATTCGAAAAGCCGAAATTTCTTAAAATAACGAAATTTGTCATTAAAAGAACGAAGAATAGACTGAACTGAATTTTACGGAGGATGAAAAATAGGCCTCCGACCCTTCTCGTAGCGTTGATTTTACGCATGACTACCTATCTGATACGCTCTGACGGTCTTTAAATCATGTAAAGTTTTTACGAATTCAAGGATGTAAGTTACCCGTCAAATTTAATCTATTTTATATTTCCTCTGTTATACCTTTTGCATCGTAATCATGCTTTCGAAATTGATATCTGGTGTTTATTTGCTATTTGTATATTATATTGTTGTGAAACAGCATAAAAATAGTAGAAATATTTCACGCAATCAGATGGAGGCCGGTCAATCAGGTGATAAGTCGATGTTGATGTCCCCCCCCCCAATTTTTCCTGCTTTATTCAAGCTATGATTGGCGGTCGTTTGTTGGAGAAGATGGGCTGTCTGCAACATTTAGATAATGTTGAGCTGCAAGGAGATTTTAGTCCATGCTGCT